ATCTTCAGACACCCCTAAAATATAGACACCCCTGAAATTTAGGGGTGTCTGAAATTCAGACACCCCTAGATATTACACACCAGTTATTCTATTGCCCATGCATTTTAGCACACAGTTAATTTTATTTGTCTAAGAGTTAGGTATTGTGCGGTAAAATTATTAATTATATATTCAGCGAAAATTTAAAATAGCTAAAAACTTTCAAAATAAGGTTTTTGTATACACATTTATTCGGAGTTAAACTGAACACACTAGCCCCACAAATTATAGAAAAATAACAAAAACATAAGCCAGAAAATTTGCTATCAGCCAAAATCAAGATTATACATCAATACAATTTCGACACAAGTTCGCAGGAAATCGTCTTTTTCTCTGATATTTGGGGCAAAATCACGATGACTTGGCAATTGGAAAAGACGTCCCCACCCTTGGTTGACAAAAATTGAGTTCGAGAAATTTTTTCCATTATTCTACATTATAAGTACCCGAAGAAGCTATATACATCAAAAACTGGATACTAATTGCTGTTTTGCGAAATTGAGAGCAATTTCAAATCTGTTCAGTTTTTTTTATACACCCTGTATAAGAAACTCACGGGACAAAATTTAGTGACGAAATAATAAGATTAACTAACAAGGGTATCTTTTACATTATATTATGGAATTTAGATATTATTATAGCTTTATTTTTTTACTTTGCAATCAGTTCCTCAACTTTGAGCTCGCGTTCGCATGCATATAAGCTCAATAATATTCATTAAAAACTAAAATTCATTAATACTACCATAAGCTCGTTTTAGTTAAACAAAGTGAGCTTTAGTATATAATTTACTCAATTGCTGCGGTTTACACAGCTTTGACTGATTTCACAAACTGTCAAGCTTTAATGGAACAAATTTTTAATGAGTTTGCAAAAAAACCGAAGTTAATTTACCTCAATTAATTTTTGGCAAAACTTTAAGATTACCTAACAAGGGTATCTTTTAAATTGTATTATGCAATTTAGATATTATTATAGCTTTATTTTTTTACTTTGCAATCAGTTCCTCATCTTTGAGCTCGCGTTCACATATAAGCTCAATAATATTCATTAAAAAACTAAAATTCATTAATAACCCTAAGCTAGTTTTAGTTAAACAAAGTGAGCTTTAGTATTAGGCCTATATATTACTCAATTGCTTTGGTTTACACAGCTTTGGCTGATTTCACAAACTGTCAAGCTTTAATTTAATAATGGAACAAATTTTTAATGAGTTTGCAAAACACCGAAGTTAAATTTACCTCAATTAATTTTTGGCAAAATTTTCATTTCTTCTTACCACGCGCGCGATGTGCAATTAATTGCTTAAATGAGCGCGCTTTACTTAAAACTTAGACAAACAACTTTAATTATTCCTTTAATTATATGTACATTCCCTTTGAAACCATGATCGCATGACCTGATTGATTGGTTTTGTTTCTCCTTTCCGCAACGAGTTTGCAAATGACCTTGTGATAAACAATTCAATATATTTTATATATAGCCTACCAAATCTCACTTGTATATAACTGCATGGTAAATATTAAAATTGTTGTTTCTGAATATGATGTTAACTTACAGATACATTCGTAAATTTCTGAACACAAATACTTAAATACCTTTATACTAATGCACGGAAATAAAACTGGTGAAAATTGGTATAGTAAATACAAGAAAGACTCATAGTTATCACACCTTACAATTGATCATGTTTAGCAATTTAAGTTTAGTAAGGAATATTGCTGTTTCATTCAAAGTCTGCTTTGCGCAAACTAAACTTTTTAAATTATTTTTTAATTATATAATTAATATAAATGCCGCAGTATTCAATTTAATAACATTTGCTTGTTGCACATGTGCTGGATTTGTTCCAGCATGTAGCCTACTCTTGCCAACTTGAAACATCCACTGTACTGATTCCTTTTAATAAGTTCTGAATTTACAATTTCTGTAAAGCACATCACAAATACGATCAAACTGTTCCGTGTTCGCGAGTCTGTAGAGTGATATAAATGTAGCTTTTAAAATTTCCTACATCTACAATATTATTTTTATCATTATTATTATTAAATGTTAAAATCCATTCAGCAATAGTCTTAATTAACTGGATATAGATAATGTATCATGCAGACACATGCAAAATTAAAAAGAAGGCAAAAATCGATGGTGTAAGGCCATAAAATGTCTATTTATTCATCAAAAATTCCATTTTGCTATAATTATTTTGAATTATGTACATTCTATATGACTTTTGGTTTTAGTCAATCTTTATTTTGCATTTATAATGCGTGGAAGAGACGACGGAAAAAGCTTGCATTATGTTATATATGACCATGACGTAACTCTTTCTTATATATGCATGCAGATCTAGAGAACATGCAGAAAATAACTAGGCCTCTCTTCTATACCAGTTTAACCGGTTTAGAAGAGACAAAAATACTTTTCAGTCTGTTAATTCAGTCTATGAATGCAGACAACATACTTTTTACAGCTTTAGATATTTTATTCAACCAGATGAGAATAAATTATGTTGGGAACAATTTTAATACACTAAAAATCCAAGTCAAAGCAAAACAGCAAAAAAATATTGTAAATAAAGGTCCATGTAAGCTTTTAATGTTGCATCTTAACTGGACATCAATATCATAATATTAAATGAAACAGAAACATTGACAAAATGTCACATTTTGCAATAAAAATACATAAAAAAACTGCTTCATTAAGCGACTTCCGATTTGCCAAATATAAAATTAAGAAATTTCCAAATTTTTCCAAATTTTGATAGTACAGACATGAAGAACATTGGGCAACCGTGTTTTTTGTACATTTTTTTATTTGTTTGTACAGCTGCCGCAGTTGAAATTTCGTTCGTTAAAATATTTAATGAGCTGGTTTTTAACTTAATACTATTTTATCCAATCAAATTAAAGCACGAGGAAAGATAAGTTTTTCCTAATTTTATATGCGAGCGAGTTTTTCATTTGCTGTTTCCAGCGCCTAATTATTGGTCCTAAATTTTATTCAAATGCAAGAAAATTTATTTTTGTGACTTGTGATATTATAGAAATTCAATTGAATGGACCCACAATCCTGTCAAGTGTACAATTCAAAACTCATAAAATACGTACTCGGACGAATTGCATGTTATATGCACACCATTCAATAAGGTTTATTTACTTACGTTATTGCTGTTTAAATTTTGAGTTATTAAAATATCTTAAACATGTTTTGGAGCTTTTGGAAAGCAATAAGTTTTTATTATCTAGTTTGAGGTAAATATTGATACTTGTTGCAGCTGTGCTATTCTTTCATTTGTAATGTTTTCTTTTAATTTGAAATATGGACGAATGGAATGGTATAAATTCGACCGACCACTGCGTGCTTAAACACTATTCAAGACGTGCTACATCTGACACATCTTAAAACTTTGGTAAATTGTTGGGACAAATCTGTGGTCTAAACTTTCGGTAGGTATTCCGTAACTAAATGCGCTACTTCTTGTTGATTTTATATATATATATATATATGTATAGTAATATATATGTAGCATACTTTTACTGTCATATTTCCTATTTGTTCATCTTATCGTAGTTCATTTTATCGTAGTATTTCTCTAAAACTAACATGCACTCTTTCTTCATAAATATTGTAACTGAAATTTAATTTTAAAAATAATAAATAACTTAGGCACCTTAATTTCAAATAATAGCCTTTTTTCCTTTCTGCATGGTAGGTTCCTAACCCTGTTTTATAAATATACCGGATATTTCGATTATTTCCTATTGCGTTTGGGCGAAACTATTGGATAAAAAAAGAAAATGACAAAAGTAAAAATGTACGACGTATATAGTACAATATATAGACTAAACATATAAATAGACTTACAAAACTGAGAAACGGACTTGTACACTGTTCCAAGTGTGCATGGAATCAATCTACAATGGAACAAAGGACAGATAAAGCAGCCAACACAAATTAGTTTATATATTCTTCCTTCTGGAAGCAAAACAGATGTACTTCGTTCTTTAGGTCCAGCAAACATTACAGGGACATATTGTAAGAAAAAAATAGATGCATTTCGTAGAAGATGTTTATATAAATTATGTATGTTAATAAGACGAAGTTCCTCCCGTGGGAGTGGAGACCTGATGTTCATCTAACCAAATGAACCGCACCTTTTCCAAAATGTCTTTATCATAAGGGCATTTCTTTGTTGCAGACGTTACGTTTGAGACAAAAATAAAAAGGGTACTTTTCAATATAGCTTGAATGCAAAAAAATTGTTTTGATAACAATTTAAGATATTTGTAGCCACTGTACATAGTAGAAAAAAACTGACACTCAAGGTATCTGTTATGCAAACTCGAGCTGAAGGCGAGAGTTTGTATATCAGATAAAGATCGGATGCGAATTAACGAAGATCGGATGCAAATTAACGTGCTTAAAAAACGACCCATCTTTTGAGTTCATTGGCGAAGTAATATTAAAAATAAACATTGTCTAAGCCGAGAAAATCAAAGCTGAAGTTTAATATGTAAATCAGGACAAATCTTTATCCGATTACAAACATTGATTAAAGGGTATGAGCACAAATAATTTTATTGCTTCATCTGAAAGAGCGTGAAAAACTAAGCCGATTGGCCGTTTAATGCTCTATTCTATCTTATCTGGTTCCGAAGTTATACGCAAAAATGTGCAAAATGTAAATTGCTGATTCAGCACAACGTGTGACGTCATTAGTTGGGTAAGTATGTTTATTGAATAGTAAACTGAAGCATAGCTCAGTTATTATTCGCTCAAATCAAGTGAAAGTTTGCGTACAGATAGTACATGATAAGACACATGGGAAAGCACTTCTAATTTTGTTGTCAAGCAATCTCGTTCCCCGAGCCTGCGATCCTTGGGAAGGAAACGAAGGCTCTGGGATAATCCATCTCAGACATACAGAAAACTGTATGTCGACCAAACTGCGCATGCGTTGGCAAAAGCAAAACAAATTGTTTGAAATATTTTATTGTTTCGTCTATAAAATGATGATTTTTTCGGGGTTTTGGTGGAAATGTTGATGTTCTTCGTAGTGGGATACAAAAGGTGTGTTAACGACTGAATAAGGAAAATATTGCGTGTGAAACAGGGTTAGTATAGAGCCGGCAGGAGCCGCGAAGAGTGCTGTTGTGAGTGTTGTCGAAGAAAAATGTCACAATTAATTGTAATCTTGCCCATTCACCTCTGTGTCAGTTTGAAAAAGCTTTAAATGTAGAGAAATTTGTGGTTTCTCCAGCATAATTTAGCCGTTTAACGCTATTATGTTTCTAATGGTTGAAAGAGCGCGTGGAAAGGGCAATATTCAAGAACAAAAACAATCGATGTACTGTGTTTTAATTGCTACTGTACGTAGTATAAAAATACCTGAAGAGAGTCTCAATTCTAATATTAAGTCGGTTATAAACCTTCATAATATTAAAGTTTTCAGAAGATTTGTACATCAGAGGAATATTAAAAGGAATTTAGACTTATAAAACATATCATTAAAAATATGAATATAGTGAATTCCATGTTTGTATTGTGTTTAATATCATCTCTAGAAATTAACAGTTTATAAACTGCCCAGTTTATATTAACTGCCCTTATAGCTTTCCTTATATGTTTTAATATTTGCAAGCAGTTTAGTAGGTTAGGGATGCAATCAGCACTTTTCAAATTATTGAATTATAACCAAATTTTGTGTCCGGATAGGAATTACTATTAAAGATTTGCAGTTTGTAATGATAGAGTTGGAGCAAGTTAAGCTGCAATGTGCCTAAGTTTGCCCTACTTTGTTATTTTAAGCTGTTTAAGTCTCGTCAAGGGGAAAGTATTGGACTTGGTATTTGAATGGGTTAACCAGTCCATCTGCTAGCCTGCGTGCAGACTATATAATGATATATATGTCATTATATAGTCTGCGTGCAGGCTATCCATCTGCATGTTTACCTATCTTTGGTTAATTATCTCATTAGATCATTAAGCCACAATGCTCTTTAGTGCACCCTATTTTGTTATTACACTGCACTTCTGGACAATATTTCTCATCAGTGGCTGGAAATGTACTTGACTTCATGTTTATTACTCATTACTGCCATTAAAGGGACTCTACAGTAATTTTTTAGTCAAAAAGCCATCTTAAGTAGGGGACTCCACAGAGATTCGTTTGGCTGTATCTTACATGCAGTATCCATGAGTATGAGTACTTCCGCACACCGGAAGACGCATGCATGCCATGATGCACATGTCAAGTAGCGACAATAACAAAAAAATGTAAACAATACTTACTTGACTAAAAAATGACTGTAGAGCCCCTTTAATTAATTAACTACAGTACTAAATACGACATTCAAGGTTTTTAATTAATTAACTACAGTACTAAATGGGACATTCAAGGTTGGAGATATAATAGCAATAGAGGTTGCTATCATTGTAGCATTCAGGGGCGTCGCTAGCCCAAATTGTCAGGCATTTTGCCATTTATTGTATCAGCAATCGGGAAATTGTTTTCGTGACCAGCATGATTTGAATTGGATAGGAAAGGAAAAACTGAAATATACGAGTTTTTGTTGCCCCTCCCCTTGTCAGAGTAGGTATGTGTTGTTTTATAGTGTAAATAACAAGTTTTGATATTGCAATCAAACTGACAGGGTAGTTGTCATGACCATGGTAATAAAAATATTTCTATGGCTCGGCATTTATATTGGGCACTTTTTTATCATTCATCACAACATACCATACCATA